CCTGATGTCCTGCAGGGTTGAACTCTACAAGGTTCTACTGCAGGTTCCAGCCGCCCTTCCCCTGAAGATAGTCCAGGCTCTGATGGGAGGAGGTGACCCTTCCAATTTACCAACCATGCTGGTCTGGTGTGCCTTTATTGCAGAGATTCTCTTCACTTTTCCAGTGGGCTTCAATTTTCAACAAGGATCCTGAGAGAGGCCCTCTTTCTCTTATTCACTTCAGGACAATGACCTCTATGACCCCCTGTGCCTCTGCAGTATGGATCCGGGTAATGGCACAACCAGGAGGTCAGAGGTGTGTGTGTGTGTGGCGGGGAGGGGCACTGTGGCAATGGTGCAGAGGTGCCTGAATTGCTGTACTCCATGGTCTGTGCTGCTTGGAGGCCCCAGTGAATCTATATTTTTAAGAACAGTGGCATTTGATTTTCTTTATGGCATTCTCTTCCTGCATTGGTATCAGGGTAACAGTAGCATCCTAAAAAGAATTGAGTAATCTTTTCCCTTATTGTCTGGTAATTCTGCATGTGTTTGGCATAGTTCACTAGTGAAACCACATAATCAAGGATATCCCTTTTTTGGAAGTTTAACAATTAGAAGTTTTATTTCTCTCACAGTTATACGTCTCTTCAATATATTACATATTCTTACGCATTCAGTGAGTGGTGGGTAGTTTGTGCCTTTTGAGGAGTAGGTTGATTTCTTCTGATTTGCTAAATTTCTGTATCTAGAGTTTTGAAGGATTGTTTTATATTTATTTGGTGTGTACAGGTTTTTTTTTCAGTTTTGATATTGCAAATTTTCCAGTAGAAAGCTCCCTCTTTTTTCTCAATGTGTGTGTAATCTTAATTATACAAATTAGGTTTCAGCACATCCTTGTAAAATTTTAGCAATTCAGAGCCTGAAGTAGAGGAGTAAATCTTCTTCCATCTCCTTCTCCGTTTGTTCCTCTCATCTTACTCTTTGACCCATGATAATAGACTGCAGTGTGTTGCTCTGGGATGGAGAATCCTATCCCTGAGCAGCGTGTGTTTGCCTAGTGGGAACTTTTTCCAGACACTTCAAGGGGAAGAAGGAATTTTGAAGGTGACAGTTGATGGTGTAGGAAGCCAGAGGGGAGAGTAGATGGAAGGTAGAGGGGGAAGCCACTCTGGTCTTACAGCTGGTGAGTATGAGAGATGAGGCCCCAGCACAAACTTCTGTCCTTGGTTCCTTCCTCCTTCTGGCACACGTTCACCATCAGAATGGAAACTCACACCAGGAAGTGCGTACTTTTAGTCTTCATTGTTATATCATCCCCTGCTCTCTCTCTGGTCCTTGTGATGCCTTGCATACCTGAGCTTTACCATAGTAACAGAGAATATATCAGGCCTCATTCCCCAAAGCAAAGCCCACACACTATGGAATCCTTTAAAATCTAAACAGAGGTCTGTTTCTGCACAAGGGTGATCATGTTGGCTTTTCCATGAGTCTCGGCTTCTCAACGTCTCAGTGTCTACACAAGTTCATCAGACTGTTTTATCCAGGGACAGAGTAACCTTGGCTCATTTGATGGGGTATGTGATACAGGAGTCTAGAATCCTAGCTCCTAGAGAACATCTAACCTGTCAAAGAAAGAAAGAAAGAAAGAAAGAAGGAGGGAAGGAAGGAAGAAAAAGGGAAAGGAACCAAGGAAGGAAGAAAAGCAAACAAACAAGCAAGATGTTACTACTCCACCCAATCTGCAATTTAAACTTTGATCCTGCGGGTGTCCTGCCTGCATGCCCAGTAGTTGTTATTTGGAAATCATGAGGGCTATGTTTTTAGGGAGGGTTGAGAGTATGGTCACTGCTTACTGGAGCATGTAGCAATTGTTTAGATTTGTTTAGCTTGGTTGCCATGGCTCCTTTGTAGCGAATGACTCCTTTGCCATGTGAGAACGGGTTGCCATGATTCTGCTTGTATGCATAATGCAGCAGTCTCCTCTTGAAATTTCATCCGATGCCAGTGTCCAGCCATACTCCAGGGCCACTCTTCTCCACGGTTGACGAGTCTCTCTCCCTGACCTAATTTAACTTCTCCTGAAACACACAGTAGGGCCTGAAGGGAGTGAGTGTGTAATCTCAATGACCCTGTTGTGCTATATTTCTTCATGAGTATCTCTCTTAAATAAATTTTGGGATTTTAGAATTAGAAGTGAAAGTCAAGATTGTCAGCAAACTGTCGCTGGTTTCGGCTCTGCCCTATTCCTACTGTGAACAATGAACACAGAGCATGTTTTCTGCTTAGGAACAGAAAGGGAACTGAAGCAAAGGAAAAAAGGGAACCATGAGTCTGAAGCATTTTAACACCAAAAAATTCCTTGGCACACTGAAGGGGCAGAGAGTTGAATACATTAAAGTAGTTCTACAGGGAAGGAGGAATCGTTCTTGAAAGTGGGGCATTTGCAGTTGTGGAATCTTTGGTGCCTTGAGTTCCGCAGAGGGCTCCATTGTCATCACTGAGGTCAGAAAAGCTGACCTTTGGACTTGAGCAGCCTGCAGTGTGGTGGGCAATGGGCATGGCTGCCGGTTTGCAAGTGGGCTGAGTGCTTCTGCCGTTTAGGAGACTGTCCTGTTTTTATTCGTATGAAATCATCTCCCTGGGTCTCCTGAGTGCCAAGAAGGCCATCCTGGAGAGAAGCGGGAGCTGGACACTAAGTATCCTCTAAGGTTCTCTCATTTCCAGCCGACATTATGAAATGACAGCAAAAGAGAAAGCAGGTTGGAAGTGAGTATTTCTAAAATTAAGTTTACTGGTATATTTTAAGTATATATTTTGATCTCATTCATCATTGGGCGTCTCTACCTTACATGATATATCTTGATTCTTTTTTTCCCCCATGCCCCTTTCCTCCTTCCCACCTCTTTTCCCCTCCCTATTAAAAAAAAAAAGGCAAGGATAACATTGCTTTTGATGGTACAAAATTCCAGATGCCCTGTGGCAAATAGAATGCAAGCTCCTTTCATGGGGTGAGAGCTGTTTCTTTGGACTCCAGGACACTGTTGTTCCCTCACACAAGTCAGGCACCACAGCTTTCCTGAATTCCCATGTTCTCTCTTAATTTGTTTTTCCCTGAGTGTTACTAAATGGAGGCCGAGAAGTGTACTGATAGTACCTGTGAGTGACCCCCATTTTGGAGAGAAGAAAGATTAGCTTACAGAGGTGAAATATAGCTTGACAAATGACACACTTGTTAGACAGCAGACTGACCCGGTGTATGAAATATGAGAATTTCATGTCTTCAGCAGGAAGAATTGATCAGTCTGTCCACTGAATTTTGTGAAGCCATAGGATTGAAAATTCCCAGAGGAAATAAAGGGAAGGGAAAAAGCAGTGGAGTGGTCAGCAGCTGTGAAGTCTTCAGGGTGATGTTCCCACTTCTGTCCTTGCCCTGGTGTCCTTGGTACATGTGCCTGTGTGCACACTGCTCTTGGGGAGGATCTTCCAGCACTTAGTCGTACAGATATCCATACTTACCCTGAGTCAGAAAGTGTCACAATCTCTTCACTACACTGCTGTTGTAAACCACACACACAGGGCAGGTAGTTACAAGCACACCATGTCTTAGTACAGCGCGTGGAACCCATTCGCAGAGCACTCGTCTCTTCCTGTACTAAATCTGGAGTTGTGTGCATGTGCGTGTGTGCAAGCATGCCTTTGTGTGTGTGTCTTTGACTTACATAGACATATCTGCCTAAAAGTACCTCTAAACACCTATTGAATTACCCCTCATATTTTGAAACACGCCACATCCGCAATGTAGTGTGTTAGGTCCCAGGCCCACTTTCTACAAACCTGAATAAGAGACAGATTCACTGCCACACTCTTGTTAAGATTGCTAGACAAAAAAATATGGGATGATCAGTTAAACCTGAATTTCAGATAAATCACAGTTGAGTTGTTAGTGTTCCATAGAACGCACTTACACTAAAAATTATTTGTAATATGTGTGAAATTTAAATTTAAGTTGGCATGAAGTATTCTAAACTGTTATATGTTCCCAAGCTTATATGTTCTTATATGTTCATCATAAGCTGAATTATTATGTTGTATATTCTTTTAGGGTCAGAAGTTTCTCTTCAATATTTTCAGAACCCGGAATAGTGGAATATTTTCCTCAAATGTGTTTGTAGTGCCTTGCTGGAATGAATGAGTGAATGAATGTCCATCAGTAATACAAGGTACCCTACATAATGGGGAACATTATAGGCTGCAGATTTTCTGAGCCGTGAATATAAAGCATGAACACACATTCTCTACAGATATAGAAATAAGTTTCCACCACATTCAACACACTGACCCTATGGAGTGTCAAAGGATACCTGATACAAATCACTGTTACACTTCATAGCCAGAACACAGGCCTGCATTTTTTTTCCTCCTTGAGTTTATTGGTACATTTTAGGGATACAGTACAGTTACATTCATTATTGGGATCTTATACCTTTACATGACAGGTCTTGGTTCTCATTTTTTCCCCTTGTCCCTGCCAGGCCTGCATTTTTTTTTTTTTGCTTTTTTGAGACAGGGTCTCACTATGTAGTTGAGACTGATCTGCAACTCCCTATGTAGCCCAGGCTGGTCTCGAACTCACAGCAATTCTCTTGCCTTAGCCTCCCGAGTGCTGGGATTACAGGCGTGCACCACCATGCCTGGCTTAAGGCCTGCATTTTAAAACAAGACCGCAAGAAAACATGAACTATAAATAAATATTGTAGTACCCACAAGGAGGCAGATCCTAAGTTGGATGTATTCATTCCACCGTGTATATGTTTCAGATATATGATTAATATATATCTATATCTATATCAAACTCAGGACCTTTTTTTATACCAGGGATCAAACTCAGGTCCTTGCGCTTGCGAGGCAGGCGGTGGAACCACTGAGCTAAATCCCTGGCCCAGTAATATTTTTTAAATAGGGCCATGAGGAACAAGCACACCTAACCTTCCATCTCTCTCTGTCCCTCATACCCTTTTCAGGAACTTCAGTGTCACCGTCACACGCTTCCCAACCTGGGTGTTCTGGAGTCACCAAAGTCCAGACTCTAGCCTTGCGCTTGCGAGGCAGGCGGTGGAACCACTGAGCTAAATCCCTGGCCCAGTAATATTTTTTAAATAGGGCCATGAGGAACAAGCACACCTAACCTTCCATCTCTCTCTGTCCCTCATACCCTTTTCAGGAACTTCAGTGTCACCGTCACACGCTTCCCAACCTGGGTGTTCTGGAGTCACCAAAGTCCAGACTCTAGGGGCAGGGGAGACATCCTCTGCTTCTGAGTACTTCTCCTGTGTTTCTTCTCCCTCCAAGCTCATCCATGGTAATAAGGGTACTGGGCTCCTTGGGTATGAAACTCTTTGAACATATTTGGGTGTGGGGCTCCTTGGTTCAGTAAGAAGAGGCATATAAATTCAAGCATACTGTGGAGGAAGCCTGGGTAGTTGGAGTGGATTATTGCTCTACAGAACAGACCAGATAGAATTGGTACCTTTAGGAGAGCACAAACAAGAACACAGTTACAAACTCTAGGTTCCTAGTGTGACCATGGCCTGGTGCCAGGGAACAGTTTGGGTTTGGGTTTCAGACCAAGGGACTAGATTAAGTACCTTTGGAGATAATATATGAATTCTGGAGGACACAGTTCTTCTGCAGAGGCCTGCGCACTAGAGCGGGACTATCCAGCTCAGGCCCACATACCTTCACATAAAACCATACACCACACAGATGCCTACATTCTTTTTTTGTTTATTTGTTTTTGTTTTTGTTTTGTTACTGGAGATCAAACTCAGGATCTCATGCTTGTGAGGCAGGCGGCGGGACCACTGAGCTAAATCCGTGGCCCTAGATACATACATTCTTTTAGTTCAGTTATATATTTTTTCTCATTGAATTTATTGATACATTTTAGGTATACTGTACAGTTACATTCATCATTGGCATCTAGTACCTTTACATGACAGGTCTTGGTTCTCATTTCTTCCCCTTACCCCTGCCCTCCCTTCACCCCCTCTCCCTTCCCTATTTACAGATACTTTATTTCCATTCTTTCATTTTCTCATTTTTTTCTTTTCCCTTATTTCCTTTCCCCTACCCTTCCCACTTCCCCCACCTTTAGCTCTTTTCTTCCTATTTCACAATGTCAATTATACCATTAGGATCTTATGTACCATTATAGTTTTTCACACCAGAGAAACTATTCAGTATTTACACATGTGTGACTTATTTATTTCACTTAGGAGTATATCCTCAATATATATCCATTTTCCTATGAATGACTCTAGTTTCTCATTCTTTATGGCTGAGTAGTATTCCATTTTATAGAAAAACCACATCTTCTTTATCCAGTCTGCAACTGATGTGCAAATGGGCTGTTTCCAAGTTTTAGCCATAACAAACTGTACTGCTATAAACATGGGTGTGCATATATCACTGTGATATGATTCTTTTAATTCTTTTGGAAAGATACCCAGCAGAGGGATGGCTGGGTCAAATGGAACTTCTAATCCCAGCTCTTTCAGGTGTCTCCATATTGATTTCCATAGTGGTTGCACCAGCCTACACTCCCACCAACAATGGAGAAGGGTTCCTTTCTTCCCACAACCCCACCAACATTTGTTATTGTGTGATTTCTTGATAGCAGCTATTCTTTGTAGGGTGAGGTGGAATCTCAGTGTTTTTTCATCTGCATCTCTTGAATGACCAGTGATGTGCAACATTCTTTCATATATTTATTTGATGCTTTTACTTGTCTGAGAAATGTCTGTTCATTTCAGATGCCCATTTTTGAATTGGATCTTTATATTTCGGGGGTCTGATGTTTTTGAGTTCTTTATATATTCTAGAAAATAGTCCTTTGTCTGAGGAGCAGTTGGTAAACATTTTTTTTCCCACATTGTAGGTTGTCTTTTAGTTTTGTTGATGGTTTCTTTTGCAGTGCAGAAGCTTTTTTAAAAATGAGATCCCAGTTGTTGATTCTTTCTGCTAGCTCCTGTGCTACTGAGGATTTGTTTATACAGTGTTTTCCTATGCCAATGTCTTCCAGAGTTCTACCTAACTTATCTTTCAGAAAGCTTAGTGTTTCTGTTTTATTTATATATATTTTTAATTGAGTTTATTGCTACATTTTAGGGATACAGTATAGTTACATTCATTGTTGGGATCTTGTACCTTTACATGACAGGTCTTGGTTCTCATTTTTTCCCCTTGTCCCTGCCCTCCCTTCACCCACTGTTTGTGTTTTAATATTTAGATCTTCAATCCACTTGGATTTTGGTTTAGTGCATGGTGAAAGATAGGGATCTAGTTTTAATCTTTGGCAGGTTGAAATCCAGTTTTTCCAACACCATTTATTAAAGAGTCTATCTTTCCTCCAGTGAGGATGGTTGGCTCCTTTGTCAAAGATTAGGTGGCTGAGTGTGTCTACAGTTGTTTGTGCAGCTTCTAATCTATTCCACTGATCCTCTGGTCTGTTTCTTTGCCAGTACCATGCTATGTTTATCACAATGGCTTGATACATACATTCTTAATACTCATACTTACCCCAAACACATGAGCCACAGTGCCATTCTTATGCATGACATCCCTCATTCCACAAACATACAGGTAATCCACATAGAACACTCCACCTCTATCCCATACATGTTACAGTCCTCACCACCGTAATCATATCTCCATGTATATGTATGTACTCTGCCAATGTCCTAATATACACAATTAATACTACAAAACACACCCTACAATATAAACAACAAATACCAAGTTCATCACACAAGTTATTACACTGTGGTCCCTGTTTCCTGCATCACTCATATGTACACTTGCATTTCTTCAGCCTCCTGCAGCTTCCATGCATGTACTTACTATTTTTAATTTCCTTCCCCAGGAATCCACAGAGTACAAGGAGATGCGGCTCAGGATAATTCATCACTGGTCCAGGTCAAAGAACAAGAAGAAACTCCTGCCTCAAAGCCTGTCTCCTTTTCCTCCTGTTCATCTTGTGAGATCTGTATAGACTCTGTGTGTATAAACAAAGAAGAAACCAGCATGAAAATATACTATATAGAGGTAAAAATGAAAAAAGGTGTGGCTTTCTCCTGGGAGGCAGAGGACACCTCAGGGTCCCCAGGAAAGCAGCCAAGAATGGAAGAAATGACCTTGCCTGAGGGTTTACCGGTAGGTACTCCTCCCTCTGACATGTCCACCAGAAACCTCCTGTCTGACATGGAGCTCCACGGGGAGGAGAATGAACACAAAACAAAGGTAGAGTCAGACAACAAGCCTGGGTTGCTTGTAGTCAAGGAGACACCAAATGCCGAGGTGTCCAAGGTCAAGACACCTGACTGGCTGAGGTCCCTGGAGAGTGGTTTCAAGTGTGTGGCCTGCTGTCGGGTCTTTGCCACCATCGACACCCTCCGGGAGCATGTGCAGTACGGGATCCGGGAGGGCTTCAGCTGCCATGTCTTCCATCGTACCATGAGTCAGCTGAGGGGAAATGTGGAGTCAGAGAACACCCAAGAGGAGGAAAAGGAGAAGGAGCAGAAAGCAGAACAGGAACCGAAGCAAGACAAAAAGGAGCATGAGGAAGAGCAGCCCCCAGGGGAAGACTTTGTCCTGAAGAAACCCCAGAGCCAGTGTCCAGGCTATGTGTTTCATTCTCCAGAGGAAGGAAGTGAGCAGGGGATTGGTTTGCTGAGGGAACTGTGCTTTGTCTGAGCCAGCACTATTCCTCCATTCTAGGCTTGGGCTCTATGAGGGCATGTTGGGGACCTTATCAATTTTCAGAGAAATGAGAGGGGGTAACTGGATCCCTTCTTCTCACCCAGACATCTTCTATGACTGTAAATCAGAATTTATCCTGAGTTTCCAACTCCCACAGAAAGTTGAGAGACTTTCTAAGGGCCAGCAGAGCTCTTTTTCTCATTAACTAAGAGGTATCTTTCTCAATTTTGATTTTCATGCAGCAAGTGAGATTCAAGGACTAGAAGATCCTGGAAGATCTTTTGGTACAGGTGAGGCATGAGACCTGCACAGTTTCTTAGTCTATGGCACAAGGGTCCATGGGCATGAAGAGAAGGGGCTGTGGAACACACTAGATTACCTGGTGGCTCTACATCAACTTGTAGAACACTCAGTTCCAGGGGAATGGACTTCCATTTACTTATGAGAAGTTAGAAAGGAACTTTCTCAATTTCTTTGTTACTTTCCTCAGCCTTAAGAGGAAATGGTATTGCCCTTCTAGGAAAAGAGAGTTTAGCTTAACTTCAAGGGCCAGGACTGGCTTGAAGAAGAGACAGGGACTCAGCAGGATCAGGGGTCTGGGGTCTGTGAGTCTTCAGTCTGATCTGGGATCTCACTCTGGCTAATGGACAAAGCCTTCTAGGGGAAAAGTGAGAAGTGAGGCCCCATGAAACTTGGAAATGTTCTAGAACCTTCATGTTACTCCATTTGATGTGGAAAGGAACTCTGTGGCATGCATCACTCTGAGCTTTAAGATAAAAGTAAAGTGTAATGACTAGCAGAATTCTTATAGCTTCTTGTTTCTTCCTACTTTGCCTCATTTATTTTCTCACACACAGGGAGAAGGACAGACCACGGAGATAGTAACAAAGCCAATAGTATAATAAAGGATGAAGGAAACAGTCCTCAGTCTAACATATAAATATCATATGCAATAAAAATTGCCTTCCAAACTCTGCCTGGATGTATATTATTTAACAACCCCTCCCTTGTCCCTCCAGTGGTTTTTGAATGAAGTTTCATAGCAGCACTAAAGACATGTACCAGCATTTTCCAGAGGCAACAGTACCCATATTCCTGGGATTAACTTTCTTTGTGATAATTTCTCTAAGACTGGATACCGCGTTTCACAGGAGAATGTGACTATGTTGAATTCAGTTGAAGTGACTGAGAAATAGCAAGCGCTGTCAGAATTATGTTTATTAGGTCATGGCTGAAAGTGCAGAAGTGGAATTTGGCTGGAGAAAGAAAGCTTCAGAGGCCTGGAGGGTAGTTTCCTTGTCTTCCTGAGTAGCTACACAGGGAAACACTAGGACACAGAAAAAGTACCTGTCTTGGAGCTGTCCATGAAGTAGGTTACTCCTGAGAAACTGAGATTCTGCTATAATGCTTGAAAAGAAGCCAGATAACCACAATCAGATTTTTTAAAGGGAAGAAATCACTACTTTAGAAGTTTGAGCCAGTGAGCTCTTATATTTCCCCATTCTGACATATTACAATGTTTGGATTTTTTTTTTCCTGGGGATTGAACTCCAGACCATGGGGTTCCAAGGCAGGGAGCAGAACCACTGACCTAAACCCCCAGCCCTAATTTTATAATTTTTAAATAAATTCTTACTCTGGCTTCACCAACTCTGATTGCATCACCTCTGCATTTTATCTTCACATTATTGCAACCAACCACAGGAACAACAGGTGTTTAGGAAACTCAAGGTGAGGAGAGAGTAATGTCTTCCTCCTCTGAATAAGGGGGCAAAACCAGGCCTTAGAGCATTGGTGGAGTCAGAAGAAGTAATCTGAATTGACAAATGTGTTGTCATTTATTATTTAAACCATGGTAAAAACGTTGCTTCCTAACAGCAGTGTTCCATACTCCCATCTCCACCCCTTGCCTCAGCATCCCCAGGCCTCTTTTAATTGTCCTTCCAAAGAGTTCAGATTTGAGGCTTATCTTACTTGCTCTTTCTACTCACAAAAGCCGCTGCAGGTGTCCTTACTGCTGCACTCACCAGGACGGGATCGCGGTCTCCTTCCCCTCTTTCTCTTATTCTACTTTTCCTCTTTTTTTCCTTGGAATGTTCAACTTTTTAAACAACTGCTTCAAACACACAGGGTTTTAAATTATTATTTTTATGAGTACATATTTGCAATACATAATGGATATAATAATCACGGGGAGTTGGTACATGTGCATATCACATGGTAATCTTTCTTTCCCTTCCCTCTCCTTCCTTCCCTACACCCTGTTCACATTTGCAAAGATCTACTTTCCTGTTTCCTATAATCTGTCTTTTGTTTTTCCCTTTGAATGATTTATAATTGGGGTTTCTCATATAAGAGAAACCATATTAAACCTTCTGTGTCTGATTAATTTCACTTAGCGTTATGGCCTCAAAGCACACCCATTTTCCTACAAATGACTGAAATTTACCCCCTTTTGTGGCTGAGCAGTACTTATTGTGTATATACCATATTCTTTATCTAGTCATCTGAGGATGGACATATAGGCTGCTTCCAAGATTTAGCTATGCAAGCACTGAGTATTTACTCCACATAGGTTGATGGGATATGGGCTATAAAAATGAATATTATCACTGCTGCTCCTGTGAGGATGGGGACTTCACTGTGAAGCAAGGAGGAAGTGATAGGAGAACCAGAGTGGGATTCAGAGTATTGAAGGAAGGAGTCCCTGATGTGCATGTTCTCATGAAAACTGCATTGAGAAGCCTAAGGTTTATGTTGCATGATTTTCTGACCAAGACAAGTGCACACATTAATCACACCATATCCTCCCTGTGGTGCCACTGGCAGAACTGATTTTGAACAGAAATCTGAATCGCTTCTCAGAGCATGTTAACCTCAGAGCAGTTTGAAGCTGTGATTAGCTCATCTTTAAACTGTTGATAGGGTTGCAGTTAGAGGACGTAACTGAGCTGCCTTCTATGAAATCCATGTCAATGAACTATGACAGTAAATAAACATAGGGATGTCTTGCAGAGAGAAGGCCATACACACAGGTGACCTCAGAGGCGGAGCCAAGTGTGACTGTCTGGAGTTTAGGGAACAAGTATGTCTGAGAGTCCTCTGTTCACATGGTCACCATGGAGGAGCCCACTGGTCCCTGTGGCTTCTGCTCTCCTCTCTCCATGCTTCCCCTTGGTTATGACAGTGTTAAGTGACAACATCAGTGCCTCAGGCAGTGACGGCAAACCTTTCAGAGCTTTCAGTGCTAACAGCTGGCTGTGGCACATGTGCCATGGATTGGCCACTGCTGGCCTAGTGTTTGTGGGGTTGAAGGTGTGCCTGAATCCTTGCAGGGTAAAGCTGTCTAATTTTTTTTTTCAGATATTTTCTGATTCCTAACTTACTGAGTCATTCTATTGTACACTTGTAATGCCATCTACTTTTTTTCCCCACTACTATACAGACAAAATTTCCCAGATTATCAGAACATTTAATTGAAATGCTCAGGTAAAGATACTTTTATCTTATTACCTAATTTTATTAAAAATAGTTAAAAAATTTAGACATGAGGGAAGGCCTCTCCACAGGGAAAGGTGGAGAAATGTGAATCAGTTCTGTCTCCATTGTAGGACTGGTAATTTAAAAAACATCCCTCTGTCACTACTGTTATCTTCTAGGTGTTACATTCCTAGCCATCCACACAGAGGCCATTCCTAGACTTTGTTGTTTGAATATAATTTTACTGTGAAATGTTTTAAACATATGGAAAATGCATGGTAATGAATCAAATGACTATGGAACTACCACGATATGGCTTTTTAAAGTTTACTATTTTGCTACTTTTGCTTGATAGCTTTAAAGTAAAAATAATTACAAATAAAATCATAGTCCCCTGTTCCATTGCCTCATGTATCCTGAATTTGAAGTATTTTGTACTCTGATATATGTTTTATGCTGTTATTACATATATATATCTACAAAAATGCTGTAAATATTTTAAAAGGTCACAAAAGTATTCTAGTTCATGTGCTACTTTGCAATTTTTATTCAAAACGTGTTTTAAAGGCTTTTTGCTTTTATACACATATCTATAGTTCACTTTTTTCTGCATTCACACTTAATTCTACTGATCTGTCAAACTTTCACTTTTCTTTCCGATGCAATTTTGATTGTACCCAAATTTCCTCTAAATATAAAAAGGCTGAATCTGAATCTGTTTCTGCTGTGTATATGCAAAACTTTATCACCAAGTTGAGAAATAGTATGTTGTCATTTCTTCTTTCTTTGTTCTGTAATAATGATGTATCCAATTTTTATTTGTTTTAGCTCAAGTTATCTTTTCTTTTTGTACCTTTTGTAAATGATTTTTTCTATTACAGTTTAAAATTGTTTATTATTGACCCATATTTAATGTTTTTATTTAATATCTAGCAAACTTGCTGAATTTTTGGGTAAAAGAATTATGTTGTAGTGTCTTGCATTTTCAATGTTTAATCATATTAAATATAAACAAAATATCTTGAGATTTTCTTCTATTTCTTTACTGCTGTATTTTGTTCTCATTTTGAACATTCTAGGACCCCTGGTACAATATTGATTATAAAAAGAATATAACTTTTCAAAAGATATGAATGAGTTCTGAATATTATGTGTTTTTATACATTTATTCAGATGATCTCATTCTTTTCTGTTATTTTAGTGAAATGTATCCTAGTGTTTGATTAATGAAACACCCTTAATTCTTTGATACAACTTATTTTCTTTTAATAAACTGTTGAATTCACTTTGCTATTAAGAGATTTATGACTTGTACAACTGACTATTCAGAAATAAAGTCAGAGTATAATTTTCCTCCCTTATATTATTTATTATTATTATTATTATTATTTTCAATACTGGGGATCAAACTTGGGCGCTTGTGCTTGTGAGGCAGGTGGCAGAACCACTAAGCCAAATCCCTGGCCAAGATCCCTTGTATTATTATTCCTCACTTTCTCTTTCTTAAAAATCATGATTAGATTTCTCCTATGCCCTGTTGTTGTTTCTTTTCTCTTTATTCTGAAAGAGTTTCTCTAAAATAGGTGTCTTTAACTCTTGAAGTTTTTGATAAAAATTCCTTTAAAAACCTCTGAGCTGTTTTTTTTTTTTGGAAATAATTGTAATTTTGATTTATTGTTTTACAATGTTTCTTGAAAAAACTTTTCATGCGGAATTATTTAAAAATTAGTTTTGAATTTTTCCAAGTATTCTGTACTTTAAAATCCTAAATGTTTATAATTTTTGTGCTTCATATTGCTTATTTGTGCTTTTTTACATTCACTCCACACACATTTATCAGCGGCAACACTAACCTGATACCAAAACCAGATAAAGACACAACAACAACAACAACAACAACAACAACCACAAAGCAAAAGAGAGGCTAATATCCTTGATGATCATAGATGCAAAAATCCTCAACAAAGTACACACAAAATGAATTAAATGTGTATTAAATGGATTTTTAAACCATGATTAAGTATTTTTTTACCATGATCCATCTTCTTCAAGATGGAAGAATCAAATATATATGCCAATCAAGAAACATAATATGCCACATTAACAGAATGAAGGTCAAAAGCCATACATTAACAGAATGAAGGACAAAAAAGACGTGGAAAAGGCATTCAATAAACTCAACAACGTGCTAAAAATGCTGAACCAATTATGTAAAGAAGATACCTCAATATAATAATGTATGCACAATAAGGCAACACCCTATGTTATACAGAATGGGGAAAATTTAAAAGCTTTCTAAGGTTTGGAAAAAGACAAACGTGCCTTTTAACCACTTTTACTCAACATAGCACTAGAAGCACCAGCCATAATAATTTGGCAGAAGAAGAAATAAAGGACAATCAAATTGGAAAATAAGTCAAATTGTCACTGTTTTCAGATGACATAATCTTATACATACAGGAGAAGAAAATGGTGGTGCAGTTT